TCAATGCTAATTTACACATCATAGGCTCTTTACCGACGTTTTGAGCTAGTTTTAAAGTACTCGTGATGGTTAGAATAAACAGAATATTTGAGAGCTTAGATGCATATGAAAATCACTTTGAGCTCAGAATCATCAGCTTCGTTGTTTTTGTGTCTTTCCAATTCAGTTGCTGCGGGTGGTGGCAGCCACGTAGGAGGTGCCTCAGGAGCTGCTCTGCCAGGCCATTTGGGTTGGTACACATCTTGTATTTTAACAAATACATGCTCTCTCTGTTCTAACAGTGTTCTCATTAGGCTTATATGCATCGGTTCATGCTGCGAACTCCCAGCATATAGTTTTTTCGGGGGGGGGGGGGGGGGGAGACTGCAGTACACTTCCAGAATTGACCATACTATCAACTCACCGTCTTATCGTCTTGTTCGTGTGACATTGATGATAAGTGTATTTTTTATACGAACTCCATAGCAAGGTAGAAAGAGTCGCGCAAATAGGATAAGAAGTCAGTATTTCATTTTTTTATTTTAGGATTTAGCTTTTGTAGAAATACATCATGAAACAGCAATTAGTGCAATGTCATGTGCAGGTATACACGGATGGGTTAAGAACCCATTAGGCTTAAGTGTTTAGGCACTATTAGAGACTACCTCACTTGCAAGGCAGTAAATAACATTTGTGGATTTCAAGATACAATAGTCTGATCGTTTGACGGTCACTATGAATTTGCGCCCCCATTAAATATTCAATTATTTATAAAGTGTGCCCTATTTGTATGTGAATTATTTTTGTATGTTTTTTTTTTTCACTTTGTATTGCTGTAGGTCTGTGTCCTTTGATTTTGATGCAGGTGGAAAAACCCCTGGTGGTCCAAATTTCGGGAACCCTCCACTACGGCGGGCCATAATCATATGGCGGTTTTGGGACGTTAAACCCCAACACATTAATGATCAATTTTCAATTAGCATATACGAATAAAATGATGACAATGCCTCAAGTTGCAATGGCTTTGAATAAGGTTGAATATGGGTTGAAACATTTTGCTTACCCGATCTACGACCACAAATAAGTACTTGCGTGCGTAATAAAAGCAGTTCATTCAACCGGTCATTTCATGAGCACGTCATATAGAAAATGATCATGTATTTGTTTTGCGTCCTGTCTTCAATCTTATACCACTAGCACTTACGGCGGCATTCATGTGATCTTGCGGAATCTTATCAAATCAGATAAGCGTTCAATTTAACGTCACTGTCCTTCATCTTTACAGCTTCTGGCAGCAGTAATCACGGCACCAGATTCATCACAGGTGGTCCAGGTGAGTGCAACTTTCAAAACAAGTTTGTCTCGCACTTTAATGTTCACGTACAGGCTCGTTTCAGCACTTAAGTCTGAAAACGTTTGCAAGCACCTTCTCCTCGACCTTCTCTTCAATATGTTGTTCATTACAACTGACTTTTCTGCAAGAGAAATTCGTAAAAAGCGAACATTCACTTTACCTATTTTAGGAACTTCTGGTTCTGCATTTGGAGGCCGTGGGAGCCTACATGTAGGTGGTCCACGCTTTGCAGTCAGTGCAGGCCATGCAGGTGGCGCAGGCAGTGCGGGTGAGCACATGCTCCATCTTTTTACTCCATCTCCTAACGCCATGCGCTATAATGGTTTTCTGAAAGAAATGTAATTTATACGGTGGCGCTTATTAGAGAAGCTAAGTCACGACATATGCAGAAAGGGAATGGTTATAAGTGGGCGATGCAGCGGAATCGTTCACTGTTACCGTAAATCACCCGTGACATTGACCACTGCCGCATGCAAATGAGTTACAAATCAGTGAACAGTTATAGGAAATCTTTGTTTGTCCTAAATTATATGTTGTGTTGGAATGTGAATTTCGTTCCGCCTTCATTATTACTGCTTTGTGCTATCGGATTTTCACTGAAATTGGCAAAGACAGGGTCTGTGCACGTTCCCCCTGAACCTGCGAATGGTTTTTCCGCGCTGGTAGCACGTGAGAGTGTACGCGCACATCTGCGTTCGTGGGTGCCTCATATCTGTGTGCGAGGTCAGCAGGCCCTCGAGCATCTATCTGCAAGGTCCGTGGCATGTTGACACACAACTCTTCTGTGACCATCATCGTCATAATCATCATCGCCATGTTCATGGGGTGTAGAGGGTACTTAGCATGTGCTCGATTACGGCGCACAACCATGCCAACGCCATGGGACAAGCCTCAACCTTAAGGAACTTCGCCCCCAAAACTCCTCTCTTCTTTCGAAGTGCCGCGTTGTCCAGTTTTCTTATCCGCCCGAAGGAGGGTGCTACAACGGTGTCGTGTGGCGTTACGTCACATGACGTCACACCAGAAATCTGGACGTCATCATCACGTCATTTTGTGATCATGATTTCTGGCATCACTTGTCAACACTGCGGGTCGGTCGCCACTGACGGTCAAATTTCGCGCTTGTTTAGGCATCTAGGGCTTTCGTTTTATTAAACCGTTGCGACTAACTCAGTGATATTGTCCGTCGCAGTAGTGTAACTCTTGTGATGCTCGGCCGCAGCCCCGAATGTTGCAAGTTCGATATCTGCTGTCGCAGTCACATTTTGATAGAAACAAAATCCTGGAGGCTAATGTGCTGTGCGACGTGGCGCATGATAAAACAAAGGCCAGATTTCTAAATTTTTCAGGAGCTCTCCACTACAGTACCTCTCAAAGCATACGTTTCACGGTTTTGGGTCATATAACAAAATCTCATTAATTCTAAGTGGTGGTTGAGCGGGCTTGTTGGTACGGACACATAACTATTTAGAGCAGTGCAGAAATGGGGCACCAAAAAAACCGAACAAGATAGGCGTTGATTTTTACCAGGGTTTTATTGAGCGAACCCAAAATATATAAGCAGTATAGACAATAGAAGACGCATGATAAACGTGATGAAATGATATGGTAGGCGCTTATATGGTAAGCCGATATACTCTAGTCATTATCGCTTCTTTAAAATTAGTTCTAACATCGGCCTCATGTACGTTGAATTGTCTTCATTGTACAAGCGTCAACGGTCTTTCCTGTATTGCAAAGCATCAGGACGTCCTAATGTTGGATTTAGGAGAAACACGTGGTTTAAGAGTGACAACCGAGACCTGCGCACCACAAAGCGGGCTCATTTTATTTATTATGCACGTACTTCGAAAGCCTGTTGCACTGAAACAGTTTCTCTCATATCCGTAGTAGTATCCTGAGACTGTGCTCTAATTTTAATTTTGTATGCAGTAAATTTATTACCTGGAGAAATCAGCACCCTTTTGAGTGGTTGCTCTTTTTAGAAGAGACACAGAGCAAGGATTCTTATGACTCGTATTGTGTTAGCGCTCTGCGAGTCCATGTGTGCCTATTTTTTCTCCTTTCTTTTTTTCGCGCTACAAGAAAACTTAGTTAAATATGTACTTTGGCTCCAGTGTTACTATTAACCATTGGAAGAGAAACTACAAATTCATATTTTTTGTTACAGGTTCCTCCACCGGTACTTATGGCGAAAGTGCAGGAACAGGATCATCTGCGTCGAGTGGCTCGAGTAAGTATCCCTCTTCACATCAGATAAAATATATATTCGCAGGCATAAAATAAATCAGCTCAAGCCATAAAGGGTGGACTGCACATCATTTGGAATGTTCTTCGTCCTGCGGAGGATATAATTGTAGCGTATACAAAGCGGGCAGGATTATTATGATGATAATAGTGATGCTCATTATGGTGGCGATATATTTCAACGTGCTGACGTGTAGGACAGAGTGAAAGAACGCACGCTGAAAGCGCATAAAGCCACTATTCGTTGGACCACCCGCTTGTTAAAGATGATAGTCTTTCTTGGACACCTCCAATGCCAAAATTTTGGTCTTTCTGTCTGTTTGTCTGTCTGTGTTTTTGTCTGTTTTCCGCGGTAACGATCCTTCTAAAGACACCAAACGATACCTCAAATGACCAACTCCATACCCAGCGCCCACCAATATTGCCCAAGTTTCAGCGTTAATACTTGTGTGATTGTTAATTAAAAAGCAATTATTGCACATACCTAATGCCCCATAACAACACGTCGATGTCTTGTATGTGTGCCTTTGTATTACAGACGGCACAAACAAGGAATTCTAAGAACCGTAGCGTTTATCACGCTGCGCTGACCATGCAACGCTTGCACGAAAAGGGAAGTGTTTTCAACGTATTGCTAAGACGACACGGTAGTGACACCTACCCGTCGCCTTGCGTTCGCGCGCTTTAGTTTCCAAGGAAACTGCCAGATGGCGTTCATTTCTCGCGTGTGACGTTACTTGACGTGCTCGTTCGTCTCCGCTGCAGCACTCTAACACAGCGCCTCCAGAATACAATTCACCGATTTTCTTGCGCAGAACATCAAATAAACGTTTTGTTCACTCTCCTCAGACGCAAGACTATCGTCTTTCGACGATATATACAGGTTAACATGCAGATGCGGGGCCGTTTTTTTTTTTCGATTATGTCTCTAATCTTTCCGCTTTTGTTTCTTTTTGATTCCTTTGTGTGTTAAGTGTTACGTTGGGCCAACTTGACTGAAGCTGGTGCCTTTCCATAAGTCGCTTTGCTTATGATAAGCGGTCACTAATGCTTTGCTTTGTCGCCCTCCTTGTTCTGAGTTGGTGGGGTTAGTATCCCCGCTGTTGTATTCATGGCGCATACTATGGGTGATTACACCTTTGACTTAACCTATAGCACATCTTCGGTGCTTTTGCACCAATCAGTGTCGGTAGTCCTATCTGGAAAGATGTACAAGCATTTTGTATTTAATTCGCTGCGCATGATGGATAATTCTTGAGCGTAGGGATCTTATCAACGCCGAAAATGATTTTACTCTTTCTAAGGACTTGGGGCCGGCCTTGGAGCTGCTGGCGGACGACACAATGTCGGAGCAGGTATGTGCACATTTATTCTGCCCAGACAATGCTGTAATATTGGGTGTTATGTGAACAAAGTTGTTCCACTTGAGTGGTTCAAGCAAATCTGTCACACTCTGTTACTGGTATGGTTCTATGCCCTCTACAGATTCATACCGAGAACTGAAAGTATTCTAATCCAATTTACAATATACAGCGAAAAAATGTATTCTACCCGAGAAAGTTATCAAAGCTGAGAGCTTCGCTTATGTTATAGGACATGCTGGTTCTGGTCTTGGAGCTGGAGGTGGATCAGCTCTGTCACAATCTGGTGGCGTAGGCGAGTGCACATTTTGTCTCCTAGGGCACCATATGAAATGCTGCTTTGCTGTGATAAATGCTGCAATACATTAGAAAGATTTGCATCTGTGCTAATTCGTGATGTGGGTTGAGTGGTTCGAGCGAAAATAAGCGCACGGACGAAGAGGAAAAATTAGGCTCACCTACAGCAGTGTCTTCGCGTTTATTTTCTTTGTCGGTGCTTCTAATTTTGCGGAAACCACTCAACATTGTGATGCGACAGGTCAGCTACATTTAGTAATGTGGGTGGAAGCTATAGTTCTTTACTAGGAAGCCTCGGCATTCATCACATTGTCAATTAAGGCAGTGGCATCAAGATACGCCCAGTAAACACAAAGAAACGTTGTGCTACAACTATAATTGGTCTTTCATTCATTTTCCCTTTTCACTGAGTTTCTCATAGCGTTAAATTCACCACTGTTCCTACATGTCTACCAAAGCTGCTGGTGCCGAAGTGCAGAAGATAAGGACATGCCAGATTAAAACTGTTGCTCATAAATTATTGTCCGACTCCTATGTCTGACGACGCATTTGTTGTAGTAATTAGCTTCTATGCTTTGCACGTGCATAATTCTTGTGAGCTTAATCCGCAATGTGAAAATATTGATATGTGGGGTTTAACGTCCCAAAATCACCATATGATTATGAGAGACGCCGTAGTGGAGGGCTCCGGAAATTTCGACCACCTGGGGATCTTTAACGTGCACCTAAATCTGAGCACACGGGCTTACATTTCCGCCTCCATTGAAAATGCAGCCGCCGAAGCCGGGATTCGATTCCGTGACCTGCGGGTCAGCAGCCGAGTACCCTAGCCACTTTAGCCACTAGACCACCGCGGCGGGGTAGAATGAACAGAATACTTGAGACGCTACATGCATATGAAAATTTATATAAAAAAACTGCATATACATGCATATGAAAGCTTTGAGCTCAGAATCATCAGGTTCATTGTTTCTTGGGTTTTTTTTTTCTATTCAGTTGCTGCGGGTGGTGGCCGTCGAGCAGAAGGTGCCCCAGGAGCTGCTCTGTCAGGTTATTTGGGTTGGTACACATATTGTCTTTTAACAAAAACATGCACTTTCGGTTCAGGTATTGCTCTGAATGGGCTTTTATATGCATCGGTACGTGACGCAAACTGAGCCGCATTTAGGTTTGTCGGGGGACTGCAGTACATTTACAGAATTGGCCATAATATCGAACTCGCCGTCTGCTCGTTTCGTTCGTGTGGCCATGATGGTGTGTGTACTTTTTCTTCTATGCGAACTGTACAGTAAGGTCGAATGAGTCGCGCCTCTAATAGATGAAGGCTTAGCCTTTTACTGGTGATATTAGGTATTGCTTTTGTAGAAATACATCATGAAACTGAAATTAGTGCAATGTCTCGTGCAAGTGTATACATATTGGTTAGGAAACCATTAGGTTTATGTAATTTAAACACTATTAGAAACTATCTGACTCGCTTAGTGGCAAATAATATTTGTCAAATTTAAGAAACATTCGTCCAATCGTTCGACAATCACCTTAAGCTTGCACCACCATTACAAATTCAACTATGATTAAACTTTGCCTTATTTGACTCTGCATTATTTTTTGAAGTTTTTTATTTTTGTATAGATGAATAAAGTGATGACAATGTTTTAAATTCTAATGGCCTTGAATAAGGTTGAATATAGGTTGAAATTTTTTGCCTGCCCAATCTACCATTACAAACACGTATTTCTATGCATAACAAGAACACTCCATTCAAGCGGTCATTTCTTGAATACGTTGTATGAAAAATTTCCATGTTTTGTTTCCTGTCTTCAATTCTACCAGTATCACTTACGGCGGCATTCATGTGATCTCACAGAATTCTGTCAATCTATATAAGCGTTCAATTAAACGTCACTGTCCTTCAATTTTACAGCTTCTGCCAGCAATACTTATGGCACCAGATTCTCTACAAGTAGTTTTGGTGAGTGCGACTTACAGAACAAGTTTTCTTCACACTTTTAGTGTTCACGGGCATGCTAGTTTCTGCACTTAAGTCTGCAAACGTTTGCAAGGACCTTCTCTTCGACCTTATCTTCAATTTGTTGTTCCTTACAACTGACTTGTTTGCAAGAGAAATTCGTTGCATGCAAACATTCTCTTTACCTATTTTAGGAGCTTCAGGTGCTGCACTTGGAGGGGGCGGGAGTCTACTTGTAGGCCGTCCAGGCTTTTCAGTCAGTGCAGGCAGTGCTGGTGGCACAGTCAGTGCGGGTGAGCGCATACTTCATCTTTTTACTTCATCTCCTTACGCCATGCACTCTAACGGTTTTCTGTTGGAAATGTAATTGATACGGTGACGTTTATTGAAGAAGCTGAAAAAATCACGGAATATGCACGAAGTGAATGAATATGAGTGACTGAAGCAGTGGGATCATTCGGTGTTATCTTAAATCACTCATAGCATTGACCACTCCCACATGCAAGTGAGTGACAAAGCGGTGTACAAGTACACGCAATTATTCTTTGTCCTAAATTGGTATGCTGTGTTGAAATGCGAATTTTGTTTTCCTTTCATTATTACTGCTTTGTGTTCTCGAATCTTGGCTGAAGTGGGCAAAGACGAGGTCTGTGCGCGTCCCCCTGAACCTGCACTTTGCCCGTCCGCGCTGGTAGCACGTGTGAGTGTACGCGTGGGTCTGCGTTCGTGGATGCCTAAGATCCTCGTTTAAGGTCAGCAGACCCTCGATCAGCAAGGTCTGTGGCATGTCGACACACTGCTCTTCTGTGACCATCATCGTCATCATCACCTTCGTCATCGACATGGCGTATAGTGGGTACCTTACAAGTGCTCCCCTGCGGCGCACAGCAATGCCAACGCCATCGGACAAGCCTCTACCTTAACGAACATCGCTCATAAAACTCTTTTCTTCTCTTGAAGTGCCCCGTTGTCCCGTTTTGTTGAGTGCCCGAAGGAGGGGGCTACAACGGCATCATGTGGCGTAAGAATACATTACGTTACACCGAAAAACGAGACGTCATCATTGATTGATTGATTGATTGATTGATTGATTGATTGATTGATTGATTGATTGATTGATTGATTGATTGATTGATTGATATGTGGGGGTTTAACGTCCCAAAACCATGATATGATTATGAGAGACGCCGTAGTGGAGGGCTCCGGAAATTTCGACCACCTGGGGTTATTTACCGCGCACCCAAGTCTGAGCACACGGGCCTACAGCATTTCCGCCTCCATCAGAAATGCAGCTGCCGCTGCCAGGATGGGACGTCATCATGACGTCATCCCGTGATCATAATTTCTGGCATCAATTGTTGCCGACAGTGCGGGTGGGTCGCCAGTGACGGTGAAATTTTCCGTTCGTCGAGACATTTAAGGCTTTCGCCCTAATAAACCGTCGTTATTAACTCAGTGATATCGTCTCTCACGGTAGTGTAACGCCTGTGATGTTCAGCAGCTGCCCCGGAGGTCGTGGGTTCAATATCTGCTGGCGCTGTCAAATTTCAACGAAATAAAAATCCTAGATGTCTAGTGGGGTGCAATGTGGTGCTTGTTAAAGAACACTTGGTCGTCAAAATTTCAGTAGCACTACACTACAGAATATCTCCCAATTATACATATCAAGGTTTCGGGGCCTATAACCCCAGATGTTACAGTCTATTCTGTAGACAAAGTGGTGTGCATCTCAGCGCGAGAGTCACAGGCGACATAGTCCTCAAAATGCATAAAAATTTCTGATTATGACATGAGAGGCATTGGACGGTGTGAAAAGTTTGAATTGATATGATTGAATTTGATATGATGAAACACGGAAGAAATCGGCCAAATTGCACTTTCAATTTAACATAGCCTACTGTAGCATAAGGTTTAACGTAGCTTACTGTAGCATATAGGGCTCGCGCTTGCGTCTATTAGAGTTGTCTTCAGCGTCTTGTTCTTAAAGCGTCTTGATTATGAGAGTAAATGCCGGCATTACTATGTTGGCTAGGAAAGCACAACACATATACCATATAAAAATTGAAAGCGCAAGTGAGAAATAGAGAAGAACAGGGCAAAGTAAGGAAGAGAAATGAAAATATAAAAGAAACACAGAAAAAAACAGGAAAAAATAACAAGAAATAAGAAGAAAAAAAACAGAAACAAAGAAGGCCGCCCAGCACCGCAGTTCCTGCATTTCTCATCGGAGCATGTGAAGCAGCTTCATGCTTTTATTTTCACTTCCTTTTTTTTTTCTTTCAGCTGGACCGGGGAGAGAAAATCGTACAAATTTGACAGCCACGTTCGGCGGCACAACTAAGTTTCCTTCCGACTACCTCACTCGAACGGGTACCGAGACTGCAGTTATCAAAGAGTTCCTTTGAAAACTGAGTAATTTCGTAATGAAAGGGAGAAAAGAAACTTTCCGTCATGTTACGAAAAAATCACAGTGTTCATATGCACTACGTGAATGATGAGTGGTTTGTAATGTCAGTCCGTTCATGCGTTCGTCCGCCCGTACGTCCATGCGTGCGTCCATTCATACGTTCATCCATGTCTGTCTGTCTGTCCGTCCATCCGTTCGTCCGTTCGTCCGTGCGTCCGCTCTTATCACGCTAGAGCACGCTTTGGAGGGGGACAGACGCTTTGCCCCACTCATCATTATTTACTCCGTGTATATGCTGGCTACGAAGGACGGAAGGACGACCGGCTATGTTATGCTATAACAAGCTTCTCCCCTAAAATACAAAGAAATATACATTTTGTATAGGGCATTTATTCGCTCAATTTGCTCTAACGCACTCATATGATCGGTGTGCAAGTGCAGTGGATCACGGTGAGATTTCACAAACAGCTCAGGAGCTGAAAAAAATGCATATTTCATCTTATTTGCACTTCGCATTGGTCAACTTATAGCCACGGCCGCTGTCATACCTGTCTGGAAGGCCCACGATGTGTCGATGACGCTTATTCTTGCCGTCCTAACGTGCGAACGCCCACAATCTGGCTCCTATTAAAATATGGTTAAAGGGCCACTCACCAGGTCTGACAATTTTGAGCTGACAAGCGCAATGCGTAGGCGAGGCGTTCATGATCACGTCTACCAAACTTTGCAACGCCACGCGCCACGGAAATGGGTCAAATTGAGAGATGAAAGTTGCTCCCCCTCCCCTCTGCCGCGGCACGCGTAGAGAATGAGGGCATGACGTAGGCGTAGGAATGACCCTACGTACACGGCAATGCAGTGACGTTGGTCCTCTACGTAGACAAGTCTGCTCTGACGTTGTCAACACTATACCACGTGACATAGGAAAAATTATTTAATACAACATGCGTAGTTTATGTATTTGTTGCTTTAAGAGATTAATAAAACTTGAAAAATAATGAGATGCCATAAAAAATGTGCGCGTTTTTCTTTCATTTTTTTTACCGTGAAATGCTACGAGATGCGGGGCTAATGTGCCAGCGTTTCACATGCGTTCATGTCCCCGCGGTCAGCGCATTGAGCAGACGACTGCTGTGGAACGCTCCTACGCGTTCGCGCACTGATGAGTGAGTGAGCAAACTTTATTTAACCAGCGGATTGAGGTGTGGGCCTAAGCCGCACCAGGGGCGGTGGAGAGACCCTACCCTGTCTCTCAGCTGCCTCCCGTGCCCGCTGGATGGCCCATATTTGATCTGTGCGATCTGAGCTGATCAGCGCGGCTCTCCACCGCGCCCCAAGCTGTTCTGGGGAGACTGCATTAGCGTCCTTTATCTGTGTGCATTCCCATGACATAAGCTCTAGGGAGGCGCGTCTCATGCTACATAGTTTACACGAGTCATCTGGGTATAGTTCGGGGTAGATGCGATTTAGGAGCTTCGGATTGGGAAATGTTCTAGTTTGAAGTCGCCTCCAGTCAACCTCCTGAGATCTGTCTAATGTGGTGCTAGGTGGTGGAAATCTGCGCCTCGACTTTTGGTAGAATTGGATAATGTCGCAGAACCTAAACATTCTGTCCCTCTCCCACCACTCATCTCCTCCCAGTACCTCATGTGAAGCTCCATTGCGAGTGCGGTAAGTGAGACCTCACGCTACGCGGTGAGCCTCCTCGTTGAGGTTGGGAATGGGGGACGCACACGTGGTGTGGGCTGGGAACCATATAATATACCTGTCTTCGAATTCCTCGGATGATATGAGATTTGCCTTGCGGAGGAGTATGTTGGCTGCCTCGGGAGATATTCTTCCTCGTGCATAGTTACGGATTGCTGACTGCGAGTCGCTGATGACATACCTACACTTTGGGGAAATTATGGCCTGTGCAATAGCCACCTCTTCCGCGATTTCTGAATTATCCGAGCGTATGCAGCACGCGTTTACGCATTTGCGGTCGGTGTTTATTACTACCGCAACGTAGGATTTGTGACTAGGGTACTCCGCTGCGTCTACGAACAACGCTTCCTTGTCTCTGCCGTAGGCCTTAAGCAGAGTTCTAGCGCGGCTTTCTCTTCTGCCCTGATTAAATTCGGGGTGCATGTTTTTGGGCAGATTGGGGACCTGGATCTTTTCCCTGATCACCTTTAAAATCGACACTTTACTTCCTTGTTGCCTATGGTAATTTATCCCCAACTTGTCAAGGATACTCCGTCCTGTGCGCGTGCTGGCTAGCCTCTCCAACTGGGCAATCTGTTGCGCTTCTATCAGCTCCTCTAAAGTGTTATGTAAGCCCAGTTGAAACAGTTTCTCGTTGCTGGTGCTATCTGGAAGGCCCAAAGCTTGTTTGTACGCCTTTCGTATGAGTGCGTTGATTTTGAGTTTTTCGGCTGTATACCAGTTTAGATATGGCGCTACGTATATAATGTGACTTATGGCGAATGAATAAATAAGCCTGATGACGTTAGCCTCTTTCATGCCTTGGTTTTTGTTGGTGACTCTCTTGATTAGCCGTATTGCATTGGTGACTTTGGTTACTAACCTCTTGACGGTTTCACCGTTTGTACCCTTAGACTCTATGATGAGTCCAAGGACTCTGATTTGTTGCACTATAGGAATAGTCCTGCCGTTTTTGGTGTGAATTTGGATGATCTCTTCGTAAGCACGGTCCCGGTTGTATCCCTTGGGTGGTCTGCCTTTAAGTGTGGGGCGATAGAGGAGGAGTTCGGATTTATCTGGCGAGCACTCGAGGCCAGTACCATCAAGATACTCCTCAATAGTGGTGACGGCCTCTTGTAGTCTCTGCTCTATCTCTCCGTCACTACCTTCACACGCCCAGATGGTGATATCATCTGCATA